ACTCCAGCGCCTTCTATTCCACAACCAGCATCAAATGGAAAGTTCAGTGCTTTAGTGGTGCGGTGGTAATGTCCCTACCTCTGAGTAAGGAGGCCTGGGTTTAAGTCCCACTTGCTGCAGAGTCGTGTCACAGCATCTGTCAAAAGGTCGATTTATAAATTTGGGGAGTCAGTCATTTTAACAGGGTGCAAATGGAAAAGAGCGTCCATTGTTGCTGATTCATTCATGGGGTACCGGAATCACCAGTGAGGCCAGCAGTTATTGGGTGCTGCCCTGCTATCTTGTGGTGTATCCCAGACTAGCATTTATCTCTGGCTGATCTGTTTAAGTTTTTGTTCAATGGTGATATTCAGGATGATGGAAGTGCAGGATTCAGGCATGAGAGTGACACATTGTGCATGGAGGAATTTCCAGAAGCAATCCTTCCGGTTCCTTCGTATAGAAATTTCATTCATTCATCAGTGCTCTGCCCAGAAGTGTGTCCTTCACTCCTGGTCTGCTGATGCCTCATCCTGAACCATTTCCTTGACAGTTTGTCAGTGGTGGTTTGCCACTGCCTTACATTGTCAGGGGCAGGGTGAGGAGATAGGTCCAAACTCACCCTCAGCCCGAATGGGAAGTGAACCAGTGCTGTTGGTGTTATTCTACACTACAGAAAAGCCTTCTAGCCAACCGACCCCTTGTCCCTTTGGAATTTAACCGTGTGGTTTTCTGTCAAAGTAACTTAAAGCAGGAAACGCATGACATACACGGGAAGAAATGCTCTTGGAAAATTTATCCCAATCTGCTCAGAAGCTGTCTAGAAAATGATATGTATCGAGTGTGATCTCTAGACAACTTCTGTGCTATACAATTTGTGTCCCAATCAAGAACTAGCCAACTTTCAGACAGAAATGTACTTCAAGAGGAAGATAAGGAAAAGAAGAGCAGCCAAGCGTTCAATCTTTTGTTCCTCTTTTCAAGTTTAAACCTGTGCCCTTCTCCTCTGACTCCCAATGACGCATTCAAACAGAATAAACTATCAACCTTTACAGTGCAGTTTATACCTTTACTGGTCGCGTCTGAATCTTGGACATCGTCAGGCCAGCAAGCAAGTCTCAGTCTACCACCCACAAATGATCTAACTCGCAGTTTATATAAATCAATGAGATTGGAACGCAGCTGGTCACTGAGTGCAACTTGCAACAGAATCTGGACCTTGGAGTTTGGTGAACGACGGAGTTTGGTGAGGGGCGAGGAGCTGCTTTTCTGACTTGGTCAGTCTCATGAAATTTAGCAATGGAAGAGTGCATGAGAGGGGGCAGAGAGCCCATGGGAATTGAGCGCTGTGAACCATTACACCCACACACATTCCACAACCACCAATCCCCCAAGCACTCTGAAAACAATAAATGGTGACATTACAGTGAAATGGGTACGTGATTAATTGTTGAGTATTTTGTTCACATCTGTTTAAATACAACAAGTGTTTCAGGAATTGTGAGGCTTCGTGAATATTAGAAAACCTCTCTGCACTGTTATAATGAGCTTATTGGGAACAGTAGGGTTTATTATTTACAATAAAAGTAAATAAACAAGACATAATGAAGCCTGAGGGAGCTAGTGGATGCCAGCGTGATCCAAGGCAAACGTGCCTTGCAGTAACAAAACTGTATAATTGGAAGGTGTGTAATCTGGCTAAATTAATATCATCTTTGGAATTTGTAAAGTTTTGGGCAGTCTCTGATATCAGTCCAGGGGCTTGGGCAAGGTCTGAGCCGCTCAGAGTGGTCACGGTTTGGTGGTCCATACCAGTGCAGTCTGGAGAGTTGGCCATGGTCAGCCGTGTGGATCCATTGCAATCAGTCCAGTGAGACACAGGAACAGAGCAGCAGAGCTGTAGAAGTATCAGTCAGGGTTCTGGTCACTCATTGTTCAGGGCTGCGCAGCGAAGTAGCTGAAGTGGTGCACCACGGTCAATGTGAGATGTCCAACCACAGAAAGTCAAGGTTAGGTGGCGGGTATTCGGGTGCCGGTGCTGCAGGAAAAGGGCTACCAACATAATCGTGGTGAGTAGAAGCAGAAGCAAAGTGAAAAGGTAATGGGGGACAGCTGAATATATAAGTGGAGAGACGATAATCCACCGAAGGCTGGATGTGAAAGGGAAAGTGTCAGTTCCCTAGCACTGCTGGCATGTTGACCAGATATACTTGGGGCTCGGGGGATAAATGGGCAGATGCAGACTCAGATAGACTCACAGAACGCACGTCTGAAAGAGCTGCCATTGGTACCTTGCATTTTCCTGAAAATCACAAGTGCTCAATGGGAATGGAAATGGCTGTGGCCAGGCCCAATGCAGTTGCAGTTGGTGCTTCGTACTGTTAGCGAGGGTGCTGCGTGTCCCGGCCATGTGAGACTGTTCAAAGGGGAACAGCATTATACACACACCCGGAAACTGAAGTTGTCACGCACCCTGCATTGCCACGTTGGCCATTTGTCCACTGAGTGCAGACCAAAGACTTACCGCAAGCACCTTTGACCATGTCATGAAAGACTAAAAGGGAGCCCTAAACATCCTTGTGATGCAAAACTAATGCCTGTGGAGCAGGACAGATGGAGCAGAGCTGTGAATATTGCATACAGCAGCGATTTCCATATTGTCTGCTCATGGTGCAGCAGTTCCTCACTGCACACCATGCAACATCATGTAGGGATATGGATGTGTGTTTTCGGCACCAACATGCTTGCTTTTGTGCCTAGACAGAGTCTCGCAAAAACAGAGAATTGCAATCATTGAACACATAATTCCAAAAGAGAGAAATATTGACAAACAGGTCTGACCCAATGTGCCCTCAAAATGTTATTCTGCTGTCTTCCCTTCAACTAGGTCTGAGTGCAGTGCCGGCTTACACCGTTGGGGTGGAAGGAGCCTGCAATACAGTGAGGGAAAACTGGTTGTCAGCTTAACCAGCGGGTCACCATGCCACAGGCAAGGCGTAAGGTTGAGAAGGCAGGATCGGCAAGGTCGTCGCAGCCAGTGCAGGAACTCGACGCATGCTGTTGACATCACTCTGCATCACAAACCAACTGCCCAGCCGAGTCAGCTAATTGACCCCCAGGTTGTTTCAATACTGGTATATTGCGTAGTTTCAGTGATGGTGCCCGAGTGCTTTCAGGGATGGTGCACTAATTAGTTTCAGTGATTGTGAACTGAATGGTTTCAGCGGTGGTGTACTGAATGGTGTGCTGTCATTTTAAGAGGTTATTTTGTCCTGTGTTTTCTAGGAGACATTGTATGGCAGAGGTTTTGAGCTGTCTATTGAAGACGCCTTGAGTATACAGGTTATAAAGTCTTGGGTTTTTTTTTAATTAAAGCCTGAAGAGGTGTGGTCCACTCTCACACATCCAGATGTCTAGGTTTTAGGGTTTTTTTCATGTAGCATCAGGAGCTGTTGGGGTCTCAACAGAGTTGGAAGCTTCAGTGAATGTCTCCAGGTCGCTATTTTCTTTGAATTTTCTCCTGGTGATGTTTTCCTCCTAGACTGGAGAAATGTGTGTGAGAATCTGTGCCTGAATTTTCCTTTTACCCAATGGGTGTTGCTTATTGGATGTTACTGTATTGGAACAGTAAATAAGTAATAGTTACTGTATCTATTATTCCATTAAGATTTCCAACACAGTTGTTATTCCAAATTCCTCTTTGTTTGGTTGTATTTTAACTACAGCTTAACATCATGTCGTTTTATCAGTTGCACTTCATCTGGGACAGACGCATTATATTTACATTTCAAATAAGAACGAGTTAAGGTCTAGGATACCTTCTTAAAATATTTTGAGGAAGTCTGGTCTGGTTCAGAACAGTGGTTTCACTGATGTCGGACTGAGCAGTTTCATTAATGGCTTACAGATTATTTTCAGTGATGGGGTATTTGTGCCGATATGCAAACTACAAAGACGTCTTTCTATGTGTCATAATATTTCTCGAAATGTAATGATATTGGAATGGACACTTCTGGAATTTCACAACAATGGATGAGCATTGTTCTTTTCATTAATGTAACATTGTGCTGTTCAAAAAGCAATCCAGATGTGCAGGTTACACGTTTATTCAGCCGGACAGGAATGTCATAATGGTAAATCCCCGAACAAAATTATACATCAAATTGAAACAGCGTTCAACAGCGAAAGCCTTGCTTTAATTCCCATTTTAAAGATACCAACAAATACAGTGTGAGCTTCTTGACTGCTTTTCCCACAAACCCAAACTTTCACAAAGTTTACTTTCTTTTGTGAACTGGTTAAGATGTCGCTGTATACTTCATGTCATTTAACTATGAAACGTGAACAGGTTAATGCAGACATTCCGAATACCAGACATGAAGTGAATGTAAACATGTTAACCACTGCTCTAGAAGCAGTACTTAGGGGACGTATAACCTCTGACAATGAACTGCTAAGAGACACTGATGGTTTTAAATGATCCCTTGTTGACTCAGTCCTGTGCTCGACATCTCATACGTGGTTCGTCCACCCACCATCGCTCTGTTGCTCGCATAAGAGCCACTTGAACTGAATGAGGTCTCATAGGAAGATGATCCAGCTCCCCAACCTAAGCCTTGCTGCAAACCACCTGTGAAAGGGGCAGAGAGAAAAAAAAACTTTTCTTACAATCTTGGTGCTACAATTTAAAGAATAATTGCAAAATGATAAATTAATTCAATTTATGTTGTATCTTGAGCAAAGTACAACAGCCCAAGATGTTTTGCAGGCGCTTTCTCAAAGAAACAATTTGACACCTCAAAATCCATCAGGACGATGAGAAAAAGCATGCGGAAAATGTAGCCCTTCAAGGAGGCGACTGGGAAGGAGAAAGAAGGAAAGGCTGACGGAAGGAATTCCTAGAATTGGAGCCTCAGCAACTGAAAGCTGGTTGGGTGATGTCAATCAGGGATGTGAAGTAGGCTGGGAAAGGCTGGTGATTAATTATCATTTTACAAGATCAAATGATACAAGCATCAGATTTTTAAGGTGGGAAATGATGATGGCTGATTGGAATGAAGCTGAGCAGAACCTGAGGAGAGAGAATCATCAAGCTTCACTTCGACCGCAAATTCTCTTACCTTGGCTCTGTACTTGCTGGATGTTGAGGGTTTTTACACCACTTGCCATTCTGTTGAGAAAGGAAACACACTCAGGTCATAGCAGGCAATTGCAGGAAATCACAGTCACATTTCACTCCGTTTTCCCAAGTTTCTCCCTCTCCCAGGGACACTGACATCTGCTGGGATGCACTTCTGAAAGAGCACAGTCAGCTTCCTTACCCTCAGGCAAAGTGCCCAATCTTTAGGTGCTGCCACAGGCAGCAGAGGCCAGCAGGCCATTGGAGCCTGAGGAATGGGACACCTGACCTTTACCCGGGACCTGTAGATAATGAAGTGATTGTCACTCCCAGTGCCTGCAGTCCATTCCATTCTCAGAGATCAGAGCTACCAGTCAACTGCAAGGGCGGACTGCAATTTGCCAGCACAGGACTCAATGTGATGGCTGCGATTAGCAACTGCCCCTTATCTTACCTTGCCTCCTCTCCCTCCAGCATTTTCCTGTAGGTCGCAATTTCAATGTCCAGTGCAAGCTTGATGCTCATCAGCTGTTCGTACTCCCTGGCTTGTTTGGAAAGCTCTTGCCCGGCTCTGAAGATGGCCTCTTCCAGTTCGCTAATCCGAATCCGAGAGTCTTTCAGAGAATTCTCACCGCGTTCCTCTGCTTCTCGGATTGCATCTTCCAGTTTCTGACGCTGAGGAGCATAAGTATTCATTTGGTCAGTTCCTTCAGTATTTACTGGTCAGCACAGTGCTCAGAACGAGACCTCGGCAAAAGGCTCCCGCTCCGCACAATGATTTGGGGAGTGCGGTGTGACTGACCAGCCACAGATTCCAATCGGAAAGGACAGCACTGAGACCCCCAGGCTGTCAGAAAAGAGCCCGACTGAGCCGATCCTATCCACTTATTGTCTTCTGGATAATAATGTTGGACAGAGAGATAAGACAGAAGAGACAGAGAGAGTAAAAGAGACACACGGATATTTACAACCGTTTCCGATCTCCTGTTCGATTTCACATCTTTGCCTACCTCTTTTTTCAGGGCATCGATTGATGCTTTCAGTTTCCGGATTTGATCTGTTGTCTGTTTCATCTCTGACTTCAGCACATTGAGATCATCGCCACTTTGTCCAGACGCCATGGCCAATTCCCGCATCTGTAAACAGACATCGGGAACAAGTTAGTCCCGCAGTTCACTTTGCAGCCCGCTTCATAAGAATGGGACAAGGAAACGTAATCTTCACCTTCGTCTGTTTCCAAGTTTCCGCTTCCTCACGGCTCTGCTGGGCGCATGCTTCGTACTGCCTCCTGGCATTGGCGAGGAGCTCCTCGACATCGAGTTTCGGACCGGCCTCCAATTGCACATTGACGGATGTGTTCTGTATCTGTGCCTGCAGCTCCCGGATTTCCTGCAGGTGGGCGGGGGGACGGGGAGGGGGATAAAGATTGCAAGGTGATTGGAAGCCATTCGGGCTCCATTGCATGAGACTTGAATGGATAGCAGATCAGGAAACGATAACTGCTGGAGCTTACCTCTTCGTAGATAGACCGCAGGAAATCGATTTCATCTGTCAGACCTTCCAGTTTAGCTTCCAGCTCCACTTTGCTCATGTACGAGTCATCAACATCCTAAAGAGCAGAGGGAGAAAATACATTGATAAAACTGAGCAAAAGTCCCCGCAAACGGAGATCTGTACCGTGCATCTTTATAAAAATCACCTTCTTGACCAGGACAAACTCATTTTCCATTTCCGTGCGCTTGTTGATTTCATCTTCGTATCTGGAACGAAAGAGATTGTTTTACTGATGCTCAGTCTTTCAGCCTCATCCCTATCACTGTCCCCGTTTTGTCTCTGTCTCCGCTAGTCGTTACCTTTCCCTCCCGACACAAGACACACGCTGTCAGACGATGTTGTTAGAAGCATCAGTCCTGCTCCCACTTCAATCAAATGAGCGCACAGACGAGAAGCAGCACAGCCCTGTGCAGTTTGGTTCCGTCTACATGGCAATGCTGCGGACAATTCCGTCAGCTGTCATAGTCCCAGTTTGTCAAAGCGAACTCATTCTGTACCTGGTATTTCTGTTTGGTTCGGACACGAAACCGCCTCCGAAGCAATCCGTGACTAAACTCAGCAGTAGCTCACTTACTTGCCCTTATAGTCCTCGACTAGAGCTTGCATTTGGACCAGGTCTGCCTCGAACCTCAGCTTCTCCTGGCCAAGTGCCTCCAGTTGTTTGTTCAGATTATCGATGTAGGCCTGGAACATGCTCTCGATGTTGGATTTGTATTCGCCTTGATCCTGCAGAAGTTTCAGTTTGATACTCAGCTGAGCATTGACCTTTTCCAAATATCGAACCTGGCGGGGTGAGATGGAGAGACAGATAGTTAGACATTGCGAGGGACACCGCAGGACAAGAGAGAAAAAGACACGGAGGACGGATTTTACAAACACGCCCGCCTGGACAGCACTGAACATTACCTTGCTAACGAAGTCAGCGAACTGGTTATTGAGTCCCTGAAGCTGCCTGCTCTCCTCCACTCGGATAGCCTGCTGGCTGGTATCGATTTGAGGCAAAGGCGTGCTCAGGTCCAGGGCAGCGGTTCTCTGGATCAGCCCTTGAGACATACCTCCCCCAAATCGCCCGTAGCCCATTCTGCTGGAACCCAATCCACCGACACTCATTCGGCTGAAGCTCGATCCACCGCCGCTACCATATTTGCTGGAGCCCAACACTGAGCCTCGGGAGATTCGGGCGCTTGAAATGGGCTGTGTTGGTCTCAGGATGACACTTTGGGCGCCCCTGGATACCCGAAAGCTCCCTCCGCCTCCCGACAGGCTCAGTCCAGAGGAAAGCCCGTATCCACCCACACCTCCGCTTCCCCCTCGGCTCCTGCTGCGGCTGGTGGTAATGATGGTTTTCGATGTCATTTCGAGGTTGTTCAGGACGTAGAGAGACACGGAAAGAGAGAGAGAGCACAGTCTGAAACTGAACGGCTCGGTGGAGCTGAGGACGGACTCGGCTGCTTTTATGTCCGTGTGGATCTGGGTTGGCCAAGGGGCTGTCTGTTCACAAGGAACCGCCCAGAATGGAGCAACCCTGAGAGGGGAGGAACCAGCCGCCGCCCTCTGGCCCTGGGTCGGGGAGGAGTGGTGGAACCTGTCCTTTTGCCGAGCGCCAACACTTGGTTCTTTGCTTTGCTCGCCACTTGGAATCAGCCCAATGTTCTCCAACACCGCCCCCTCCTCCTAACCACGACCCCACTTTATATCGTCAGCTGTTTCAGGCCTTTTCTGAACTCGGCAGTCCCTGCTGCAACCGCATCTTCTCCTGAATGGTCACCCCTTACCCCACCCATGAACCACATCCAACTTTCCCCATTCACTTAATACCCGGGATTTCCCGAATCCAGGTGGATCCGCGCTCCACTCCATGTTAGGACACTCCTTCTGGTCCCGAGCCCACTTTTGTTTCTCCCTGTTTGGGCTCCCTCCAACCCTCAGACAGTCTGGGCATTCCTCCACCTCCGCCCCCTTTGGATATTCGCCACTGCATCCGCCCAAACTAAGGGTGCCTTTCCTCGTTCACATTTTAATATAAAAATCTGCCTCTTTGATCGTGTTTCTGATGTTGAACGTATGAATTGAAGTTGGTAAGTGCCTTGCTGACAGCGTTCGAGCACTGAGCTGGTTTGGTGCTTGTTCGGGGTTGACAGGATGCAGAGAGCAAGAAGAGTGTGAGAAGCGCTTGGAAGGATCCCCTTTCCACAGTCGCACAGTTCCCGAGGACTGTGTTCCAGAGGCTCCACCAACTGGTGAAGCGGGTGAATTCACAGGAACTCCAGCGCCTTCTATTCCACAACCAGCATCAAATGGAAAGTTCAGCCCTTGGCTTTCCAAATGCCAAACCTCTGTGAATTGCATGGAGTTTGGGGACACGCCACCTTTCCGAAATTAAATATCTTTTTATGATGGGCATTGAGGTGCGATCGTTTTCTTCAGGGTAAAAAAAGATAAGGGAGGCTTGGGAATCTTTGATTATGCACAGCATCAACTTTGCCCAGCACTGAAGTTGACATTGTAATTAACACGGACGTTGTGAGATCTCTAAGGTAGAATTGTGCCATCTTGCAAATTCTGGGTCACAAGAGGCCAATTTCTTTGAGGCTTGGGTTCATAGAATCATTATTGAATTCCTACAGTGTGGAAGCAGGCCAGTCGGCCTGTACCAACCCTCTGCAAAGCGTCCCACCCCATCCCAGTAATCCTGCATTTCCCAGGGCTAAGCTTGCACATCTTTGGACACTATGGGGCAATCCACCCTAAACTGCGCATCTTTGGACTGTGGGAGGAAACCCACGCAGATATGGGGAGAATGTGCAAACTCCACACAGAGAGTCACCCGAGGGTAGAATCGAACCCGGGTCTCTAGCGCTATGAGGTAGCAGTGCTAACCACTGAGCCACCGTACTGCATCATACTGTGCATCGTTGTCGGTCCTGTTGATGTATGCTTTGTTGGACTCTTCTGTGCGTCAACCCGATCCGCCTGTCTGATTTAAATAAAAAAACAAAAGAACTGCGGATGCTGGAAATCAGAAACAAAAACAGAAGTTGATGGAAAAGCTCAGCAGGTCTGGCACGCATCTGTGCAGGGAAATCAGAGTTAACGTTTCGGGTCCAGTTCTGAGGATACTGCCAGATCTGCTGAGCTTGTCCAGCAATATCTGTTTTTTTGCACCTGTCTGCTGATTTCATTCGTAACTAAGGCAGTGTTACCATTCATCATCCTGGAACCCGCAGGGAGCCAAACCGGTCCAGCAAGTTTACACAGGGAGTGGTCTCCGAGCCAGTTTCTTCCTCACTGTACCTTACCAAGCTAGGAACAAATAAAAGATTTTAATGGATATTGCTTCCATGTTGACACCGCATCCACAAACATCCAATCCCCTCCCCGCCACCAACGCTCAGTCACATCAGTGTGTACCATCTACAAGATACACTGCAGCAATTCACCAAACTTCCTTAGGCAACACTTTCCAAACCCACCAGCCCTTCCATACAAGTCCAGCAGATACATGGGAAAACAACCCCCTGCAAGTTCCCCTCCAAGCCACTCACCTTGAAAATATGGTGTCATTCAGTCAAAAGTCCTGGAATTCCCTCCCTAACAACATTGTGGATTAACCCACAACACATGGACTGCAGTGGTTCAAGAAGGCAGCTCACCATCTTCTCAAGGGGGCAACTAGGGATCAGTGAGAAATGCTGGTCTAGCCAGTGACACCCACACTCTGTGCATGAATTTAAAAAAAGGAGACACAAATAGAAATTGCTGGAAAAGCTCAGCAGGTTTGGCAGCATCTATGGAGAGACATCAGAGTTAACCGTTCGGGTCAAGTGACCCTTCCTCTGTTAACCTTGAACATCTGGATATAAGCATGTGTGAGAGGAAAAGTTTTAATTTGATTTGATTAGTTTTATTGCTGTCACATGTACCAGGATACAATGAAAAACATTGTTTCATGTGCTATACAGCCAGATTGTACCATACAAAGTGCATCAGAGTTGCAGAGCAGAGTGCAGAATACAGTGTTACAGCCACAGAGAAGGTGCATGGAGAGAGATCAGAATTAACATTTGAGAGGTCCATTCAAAAGTCTGATAACAGAGGGGAAGAAGCTGTTCTTGAATCTGTTTGTGCGTGTTTTCAAATCTTTATATCTTCTGCCCAATGAAAGAGGGGGGAAGAGAGTATAACCAGGGTGGGAAGGGTCTTTGATGATGTTGGTTGCTTACCCGAGGCAGCAGGAAGTGTAGACAGAGTCAATAGCAACAATTTGCATTTATTATGCACCAGGCACTTCATGAGACACCAACCACATGAAGCGACATTAGGATAGTTAAAAGAGGAATGCCTTAAAGGTCGAGAGTTTAAGGAGGGATTTCCAGAGTTTTGGCCTGAGATGGCTGAAGCAAATCAAGTTGCATGGGAGGCAGAAATAACAAAAGGTTGTTAAGCTGGAAGAGGTTACAGAAATAGGGGGACGGGGATAAGGTCATGGAGGGATTTATGCTCAAGGTTGCAAACTTTAAAGTTCCGACCAGTTGATTTCCCATTCCTATTTCATCGACTGGCATTGGAGTTTCAGAAACACTTCCAAAAGTCATCAAAAGAATTGCTGGATAATGTTTACATTCATTCCACTACAGCAAGCTGTCCTTCCCATTCACTATCTAAGGATTATTTCACTGTTGGGAGCTCTGAGATGACTCCTGCCCTCTACACCATTCGCACTCCATGTCCACTCTGTGTTTCAGAATGGTGGCATTGAAGAGGTAATAGTGTCATAGAGATGTACAACACGGAAACAAACCCTTTGGCCCAACTCGTGCATGCTGATCAGATTTCCTAAATTAATCCAGTCCCATTTGCCAGCACCTGACCCATATCCCTCTAAAGCCTTTCTATTCAGATACCCATCCAGATGCCTTTTAAATGTTGTAATTGTACCAGCATCTACCATTTCTGCTGGCAGTTCACTCCACACATGCAACACCCTCTGTTTGAAAAAGTTGCCTCTTGATTCCCTTTTAAATCTTTCCCTTCTCACCTTACACCTGTGGTCTCTAGTTTTGGAATCCCCTATCCTCGGGAAAAGACCTTGACTATTCATCCTATCAATGTCCCTCATGATTTTATAAACTTCTATAAATGTCACCCCTCAGCCTCTGCCACTCCTGGGAAAAAAGCCCCAGCCTATTCAGCCTCTCCCTGTAGCTCAAATCCTCCAACCCTGGCAACATCCTTGTAAATCTTTTCTGAACCCTTTTAAATTTCAGAACCTCTGAAATAAAAACAGAAAGTGCTGAAGCAACTCAGCATGGCTCACTTCTGAAGAAGAGTCATTTTGGAGTCGAAATATTGACTCTGTTTCTGTCTCTACATACAGTTGCTGCCAGACTTGCTGAGTTTCTCCAGTACTTTCTGCTTTTACTTCAGATTTCCACCATCTGCAGTAATTTCCTTTTGTTAAGAACAGAACCTCTATTATGTCATTTTTTTGAAATGTGCACTACTTTTCAAAATTGAGCCACAGAGGAGGCTATTCAGTCCATCAAAACCGTACTGTTCACTGAAAGAACAATCCTGTCCATCCCAGTGTCCAGCTCAGTCCCTGTAGACTTGGTATGTATTTCCCTCAAATGCCCATCCAATTTCCTTTTGAAATTATTCATTATCTCTTTTTCCACCACCTTTACAGGCAGTGGATCATAGATTGCTATGATTCATTGGGAGAGATCTGAAAAAGAAAGGGAACATCGAGATGCTGCACAACTGGGAGTCAGAGTAGGTCAAAAAACACAGGCAATGGGTGATTGGGACTTGATGCAAGGTAGGGCTGGGAAGCTGAGTTTTGGATGAGATTAAGTTTTAAGGTGAAGGATGGGGGATTAGCCAGAAGTACATTGGAATAGTCAAAGCTTGAAGTAAGAAAGGCATAGGTGATGGTTTCAGCAGGAGATGAGCTATGGAAGAGGTAGATTTGGGTGATATTCCAGTGATGCAAATAGACGGAAAAAAATGCTTCAAAACTGTAAGTCAAAGATAACACACAATGTAGTGCTTTAGTTGTAATCAGGCTACAGCTGAAAAAAGGAATAAAGACTTACATTTCTAGAGTAGACAAACAGGGGGCTGGAAGAACACAGCAGGCTGGGCAGTATCTGGATGAACGGAGCAGTCAATGTTTTGGGTATCACCCTTCTTCAGGACTGGGTGTGGGGGTAGGGGGACCTGCAGATTAGGGGGGTGGGGGGGTTGGTGATGGGGGGAGGATGGTAGCAGAATAGTGGTGACAGGTGAACACTGGTAGTAGGTACGACCTGTAGGTTGACGGGAGGGATTAATCTGGTTGGTGGCTGGATGGGAGGGTCAGAAGGTGGAATGGAAGGGAGGAGGTGGGGCTGGAAAGGGGAACTAAGGGATAGGTGGGAAGATTATTTGAAATTGGAGATCTCAATGTT